GTGGTTTGATATGCTTGTGTCTATCGAGAAACGTCCATTCTTCACTACCAGTGTCCACTCGATAAAAGAATAATCTATTTTTCACATTTTTCCCGTATGAAAAAAACTGCTCCCGCAAATGCTGCTGTTTTCGCCAATTTGAAAAATTTTCCTTAGTGAAAAAAATTATGATGTGCACAATAAAAACAAATATTTTTGGCTGATGTTGACAGCTTATGATTAGCCCTTTGAAATGGTATATATGTCATTGATGTGCGCCATCGCATATGCAAGTGTCGCCATCTTTCGTAAAAAACCAGTTTTCAGGTTGCAGACCCAATATATTAAAGTTCCACTTGTATTTAAAGCGCTTTTTACCAATTTAAAAACAAGATGCCTTATATTCGTAAGGATAAATTTTCTTTACTCCCAAATATATAATTTCCGATTAAATCCAATTCTCCATGCATTGAAATTGGGAAAGAATCATATTTTAATCAGATCAGAGCGATTTCAATACTCTGTTTTTCATACATTGTGACATAGCAAAATTCTTACCGTGTTTTCTGCGTATAGCGTATAGTATACCACGCGCCTACCCGTCATACCATAAATAATGCTAAAATTCGCGATTTTCGGCGTTTAAAAATCGAAAAAAACTGCTTTTTAATAGATCAAAAATCTGGGGTGAACGCTATTCTCATTTTTTGCGTACAGCTTACAGCGTACAGTATACCACACACATACCCTACGACCCTAAGATTATGCTAGATTTCGCGATTTTCAGCAAGGTTTAAATTTTTCCATCCGCTCGATAGAGCCTCCATAGATTGAATCGAAAGAGTTTTTCAAAAGAGACTCTTTCAAAAGAATCTTTGCGAAAATTTTCAATATTCTGCTACAAATTACGGCTGTAAACTATATTCAAATGATTGGTTTTGATTTATATTTTAATACTATTAGGAAAAAAACTAAAAAAATTGATTTGTATTAAATTTTATTGAAATTATTGATTTCATTAAAACGATCATTTTGACAATCGTATAAATGTCAAGTATGGCATGAAGTTGCAGTGTATGGTGAAATGTCACAAATCATTGTACGACGATTGTCAAATGGTTAAATGGTTTTGTCGTATCGAAATGGGAAAATGATTTACGAAAATCGGAAAATGATTTATCAAAATGGGGAAATGATTCACCAACCAAGTTTTAGACTAAAAATAGAATAGAAAGCATTTTATTACGAAATTTTTCAGAAAATCTAAGAAAAATTTGTTGCATTTTAATCAATTTCTTCAACTTCCCTAACAATAATCTACGTTAGAGAGGAAAACGAATAGACGAAGTCAAATTAATATACAATGTCGGTTTTCAGTTGAACGCTGGCAATTTAATTTATATTCTCGCTATGGAATACACGCATTTGTCAGAGAGAATAAACAAAATTGCACATTCGCACACAAACAGTGTTCTCACATTCTCTTGTAAATGCGTGAAATTGAAAACATGAAGAAAATATTTGACTATTGAAAGAGATGAATTTTATGTGATTCGCATAATTATCATTCATGAAGATTAAATGAACAAACGTATACGTGTTTTGTATGGAGATGTTACACTTTAAAATTCTGCGAATCCAAGTCTCACTTTTGCTCTCACCCGCCGTTCAAATGTATAATTCAAATAAGACTGATTTTTGATTTCATTCAATATTGTGTCGTTCTGTCATATGTATAGTTTATACAGAGCCTGTCCGTGCGCTCTTTGCGCCCTGGTGCGAAATTGACAGGGCGCCCTTTTCTTAGGAGAAACAAAAATAATTGAAATAAATTTTTTCTCAAAATGAGTAACTTTCTTGTTAGAAAAGTTCTGTACGCTATTTTGGGCATTGTTCATAGTATGAACTTCATAATATGGTTTACAATACACTGTTTCGTATATATATGAAACGCACGAAAGAAAAAATCCAACGAAATCAGCAAGATATCTTGCCTTATGTGATACTGAAAATTTGCGTTTAAGATACATTGAAAATATCATACATTACTGCAAGCGCGAGCTCAATTTTTGTCATTTCAAAAATATAGCCCTTGAATACACATGCTTACTGAGAGTTACATGAAAAAGGGTGCTCAAAATAATTGAATATATTTTGTAATCGGTTGAATATGCACTGAAATCTTATTGTTTATATTTTGATATTGAGAAAAGGCACTTGAAATACAAGCGGCACTTGAATATAATTAGCGTACGACGCCCCAAGTGTATTTTTTCATGAAAACTGGACTGTGATAAAAGATAACGATTTAATGTCTTCGGCAAATATGTAGTACTAGAGATCCTCTACATCTTTACTAAAGACAGATATCGCTTATCTCTTATCAGATCCGCAAAATACGCGAAAAACCGCGAAAACGCAAATATTCGGTTTTCCATTTATCACGGAACTGATAAGAGATAATAGATATCTGTCTTCAGCAAAGCTGTAGAGCAGATTGGGTTTTACAACTTTGCTCAAAAAACCAAGTCATTATCTCTGATCAGTAACGCGAAAAATGATAAGAGATATCTCGCGTTTTTCGCGGTTTTTCGCTTAACTGATAAGAGATTACGAAATAAAGCATGAAGAAAATTGTAGTACTTGTGGTCCTGTACAACTTTGCTGAAAACAGATGTCACTTATCTCTTATCAGTCAAGCAAAAAAAATTGATCAAAAACCCATATGGGAGATCTTTCGCGGTTTTTCGCGTATATTGCCTAACTGATAAGAGATAAGCGATATCTGTTTTCGGCAAATTTATAGTGCCGGCTGAATACTACAACTTTGCCGAAGACACCAATTCGTTATCTCTTATCATTTACGCGAAAAACGCGAATTTTCTCTTATCATTTTCCGCGGAACTGATAAGAGATAAGGAGATGGTGGCTTCAAAAAATTGTAGTACTTGACTTGCTTCACAACTTTGCTGAAAGCACTCATCATTTATATCTTGTCAATTCCGTGAAAAATAAGGAGCCGAAAATTTACGTTTTCGCGGTTTATCGCGTATTTCGCGGAACTGATAAGAGACAAGCAATATGTGTCTTCAGCAATGTTGTAGAGCGGGTTAAGTACTACAACTTTGTCAAAAACACTAAGTCGCTATCTCATATTACAATCAAGTTTTCATACAAAATGCACTTGGGGCGCTGTACGCCCCATGAAACGAAGTTAAGGTGTAAACGCAACAAACGATCAGAGGGATAAGAATGGTTTAGTATTTGTGAAAGGTTCATTTTTGAATTCAATCGACTTCGTTTTATTCGTTCGCAACTAGATGCTGTTGAGTGTTTATAACAAAACAATATATCAATAACCCTTATTGATTCCGAATAAATAAAAATATTTTTAATTTGGATTATACAATCAAACGTCTGTGAATTCATAATGAAAAAACCAAATGTTCATGTTCACGTTTATTGTGAAAAAATACATCAAAATATAGAACTGATTGATTTAAATGAGTAACTGTCAATTTTTGTTCACCGGGATAAACTTTTTTTTGGAATAAAGACTAAATCATATGCAGTTTGATGGCTTCATCAATCAGAAATGTATGTTCATACAACCTGTCATCTACTACAATCTTTATAAATCATGTTTTCACTCATTTTTGGGACCGAGAGGTAAAATATTCATACCTAGGTGTAAATTTTTACACCTCGAGGGATAAATCTTAATTTACCCTAAATACAAGTTGAAAAGAACATAATTATGAAATAGGTTTCATATAATATGTTATCGAATCTAGTTGGATTTCTTCGTGAATACAAAATGAATGAATCCTTTGCACATGGAAATGTTATTTATCGTTTGACAGTCGATAGCCACTGTTGATAAGCAGCGGCTACATTGCATAATATCACACCCGTTATCGAGTACAAAAATAAAGAAAGGAAAGAGTAGGATAGTTGTTAGCTTGCCATGACTCCTCGACCATTTCACACGAAATCAATCAAAATTCACATCGAGGTTCTCAGAATCGGCTCAAATTTTGCACGAAAGTTGGGTTTGGGCAAAAACCCAGAAAGCCAAAATATTTCCTCCGGGTCTGCCTCTGGAGACCCTGTATGGATAGTGCAAAAATCGAAATTTCGCAAATTTTCGAATTTTTAGACCATTGATAAAAAATTTCAACGCGATCATATCTGAATGAAATTTTCACACAAGTTAGGGTTTGAAGAGCCCTTTCCAGCCCACCCTTTAGGCACCTCCCCAGATACCACCAGACCCAATTTTTGGGCTAACAAACATTCAGGGTGGGAAAAGAAAATTTACCCCCCCCTTAAGGGTCGATTTTTATTTATTTTTTTGATTACTCACCAAAAATAGTCCAAATTTAGCGAAAGAAATTTTTGGGACAAAACATAAAAAATTTCAAATTTTTCGATTTTTCGACTGTCAGAGCTCGAAAATCGAAAAAAAACTGATTTTAAGTGGGTCAAAAAATCGAGGCAAATAGACATCTTGCTAACTTGGTTGGATTTTTTTTCGTGCCTTTCATACATACACGAAACAGTGTATTGTAAATACACCATGAAGTTCATAATATGAACGATACACACAATAGCGTACAGAACTTTTCTAACAAGAAAGTTACTCGTTTTGAGACAATTTTGAGTCTATTTCATTTCATCCTAAGAAAAGGGCGCCCTGGCAATTTTGCACAAGGGCGCAAAGAGCGCACGGAAAGGCTCTGCTGGTGCTGGCTGTACTCACACATACACTCAGTACTCAGACGTACGGTAGGCGTTCACACGATATGGTGTGATTCAATTGCATATCGGGTTTTTCAGCCACACCATAAGTCGTGTACACATAGCTTACACATTACAGATTGCTGTGCTCCGGAATGGTGTCCATATACGTTTCTACACCTTAAAAACGCTGTCTACGAGATTTTATGAGTTATTTTCACTAAATAAAAGATTGATTTGATCTTATTTATCGGTCAAAATTATTTTTCAGGTCATAAGAATATCGCTGAACTTCTACTCAGTAAAGGAGCTAATTATGAAATGAAAAATTATCGGAATAATACAGCCCTTCATTTAGCTGCTTTGACAGGTAATGTTTATTATTTGTTCTCACTGAATAGGAACACAGTTTCATTTTTTTTCATCGATCTGTGTTATTTTTCAGGTCACAAGAATGTTGCTGAATTTCTTATTAGTAAAGAAGCCAATGTTAATAGTGAAAATTATGTGAAAGACACACCTCTTCATTTAGCTGCTGTGAATGGTAATAGTTGGATACTTGTCTTTACTAAAATAAGATTGATTTGATCTTTTTCATCCATCTAGGTCATAAGAATGTCGCTGAACTTCTCATCCGTAAAGGAGCCAATACTGGTATTAAAAATAATGCGAATCTTACACCTCTTCGAGTAGCTCTTAACAATGGTAAAGCTGACTAAATAAGATATCGCTTTGATCTTTTTCATTGATCTGTATTATTTTTAGGTCACAATGAGGTCGCCAAACTTTTTATCGGTAAAGGAAAAAAAATTAATATTGCAGAGCAATTGGAATAGATTCATTGGCTACCACTAACAATGGTAATGTTGCATATTTTTTCTTAACAAAATAAGAAATTGGTTTGATATTTTTGATCGATGTGTATTTTTCAGGTGACGAATAGCTGAACCAATTTAGCTGAATAATCGGATGATTTCCTTCGATTCCCCTTTTCGATTGTAGTGTAGAATTAATTTCAAAACATTTTTTTGTCCATCTATGACCACACCAACCAATATTGTTGCTTTGTTGGGCCATCGATTAATATTCTGTCAAAAAACAGCTCAAGTTATTTGACTTTTTAATTGCTTACGGTATAGGTATTGGTATGGAGTAGAATTTTTTTTAAATTTTTGTGACCTTAACGTGCATCCGTGCCAAATTTGACCGCGATTTGTTTGAGTCATATGCCGTAGGCAAAATGCAAGAACGAAAATAAATTATACAGAATAAATGATAAAAAATAATCTAAATTTCAATCTGATTTGAACAGTGTTGCTTGCTCTTGTTCACTTTCAAGTGCACAGACAGTAATTTTGGACAACCCTTGGCGGTTTTTTAGACAATATACCAATCCATCCATATTTTCGGACAACTTCACTCATATTGTCTCATTTTTTGGCCAACCCTACTATTGTATATACTATTGTACATTTGACACTTGGACAAGTTCACACATATTGTCCTGTTTTGTGGCCAACTTCATACTAATACTATAATGGCATGTTATTATAGTATTAGTATGAAGTTGGCCACAAAACCGGACAATATGTGTGAACTTGTCCAAAAATATGGATGGATTGCTATATTGTCCGAAAAATAGACACCTATTGGAAATAAATTGTATCTGTGTGAAAGAAGAATTTGGTTTACTTTAGAGTATAGAGTCGGATGGGTTCAATTTTTCTTGATACAGCGTCAGACGTCAATGCAGAAAGATTTCTTTTTCTTGATTATAATCTACTGAATATTTATGCACGTAAAGTGATAATTGCATGCAAAATTCCACTTCATATATATAGAGCACCAACTTCACCCCATTTCATTTTCTAGCCAATATGTGTATGAATTTGGAGACACTAAATTGTTGGTCTTCTCAAACTATACAACTTTGCAAAAGACAATTATCGTTAATCAGTTTATTAGAAGATTTGCCCACTGCTTGAACACCTACTCTATCTTACTCACACAAATACAAATACAAATACTTTTTCCAGTCTCTCTGATCGTCTGTACAAATAGATAGGAAACGTCAAATAAGAACAATAAAGCGGCACCTGGCGACTGTTTGGAGAAATAGAGAATCATGCACATAGTTTGCTGTAACAAGTATGCGTCTGTGTTAGTTCAAACGTTGAAAGTATGACATATAGCACTT